CCACACAACTTTATCCAAAGGAGACACTTTTCTCGGTTGAGATGTGGTTTAGGAAAGGGTAAAAAATACACCTTGTCACCCAGCCTCTCAGGATACCTTGTGTCGGAGTTGCATGTACCCCATGCACACGTTTGACCATTTTTAAACTTCAAATCTCCAAAAAAGCTCATAAAACCAAACAAAACTGACTTTCTGTAATGCATTTCAATGTACGTCCAGGCAGAGAATGTCCGAGTGTATGGGAATGGCTATACGCACTGTGCACTGTGTTTTCTAAATATTGTACCTATGACGTGTAATTCTTTTACTGTATTTTTATTTTTTTTTTTTTTTTACCAGGTCACTTAGCCATGTTCCTTCTGGCCTTTTGGCTACAAATGGGTGCATTTACATTTTATTTTTAAAATGTTCATTAATGTATTGTCCCTCTACAACAAATAAAGATAAATGAAAAAAGAAAAAAAAAGAAACATTACTATTGCACTTTCTCCTAGGTTGGGCCCATTTTTGAGTGAGATTGGCTGGACTATCACTCCAAGTTCCATGCCACAAGTGAATCCCTGTCATGCCAACACTCCTCATTATCCAGGAAATGACTAAAGAAAGTCCACACCAAGACACATGTAGGATAGGCCACACATCACTGCTCAAACTGTGCCATATAAGCAATGTTACATACAAAAGTGTAGTCATATGATAATCAAAACATTGCCTTTCTAACCCACCAGACAGTCTGGATTGTACCAACTGAATCCATTTTGGAATCACACTGAGGCTCCGTCTTTATTCATGAGCCTAACTCCTCCACATGCTGATGTCAGCAGACACTTAACTGCTTCAAGCTTTAAGAGGAGCCTTAATCTGGTTGTTTATCCTCCCAGTGTTGTCTCACACCCATGTCAGTCCAACAAAAACCGGTCTCCCAACGAGCCAGCCCAGGCAGGCCAATTTTCCGGCCGTGCCCGGTTCCCGTTGCCATGGAGATGACGTCATGCTGCAGCACCGGGATGAACGGCGCAGCCGCGGACGGAGGGAAGGGCGAGACAGAAAGCTTCCAACGCAGCCAGAGCTCCTCCGCCATTCAGCCAGACTGTCGACTGAACCGGGAGGGCCAGGACCGAACAGCAGAAGAACCGGAGCCCGTCGTCAGCTTCCCCCCCCGTGTTTCTCCGTGAGACTCCCCATACCGCAGCGACAACATGCGTGAGATAGTGCACCTGCAGGCCGGGCAGTGCGGGAACCAGATTGGAGCAAAGGTATGTAAAACGCACGCGCCCGCCTCGTTTGATCTACCTGTTAACAGCGCTCGGTTTTATGTGGTTGAATTCAAGTTTGTGGGTGTTTATGCCGACGTGTCGACTGTCAGAGGCCATGTTGTCCACAGGAAACACTAAATAGGTCAACACAGTGGAGTGGAAAGTGTTGTGTAAGACTGAGGACAGCGTACAATAGCATCCTTTAGGATGGGCGGTGGCGAGCCGAGACATCCCCGCTGCTGTCGCTGATGCCCTTTAAATGTACGATACCACCTAAACTGTGTGTGTGTGTGTGTGTGTGTGTGTGTGTGTGTTAGAGAGAGAGGGGTGTGGCTCCGAATGCACTGGAACGCCGGCATGCAGTTTTTCAACACCCACCTATTAGGTCATATTTAGTTTTTTTCCCATCATCCCTGCTGCAAATATTAAGTGTAGCCTCATTTAAATGTAGATTAACACATCTTTTGAGAGTATCTGTGAACCAGAGATTGATCTGTAGTGAAAATTGGCTTCAAATAGCTTGTTTTGTCTGACTTACAGTGAAATATTCAAACAGAGGACACTGGAATACTCCAGAAGCTGGAACAGGCAAACATTTTGCATTTTTCCTTTAAAGACGTCATGATATGATATGATAATTTGATCATCAAATTTATTCAATCATTAAATTTACCGTCAGTTAATTCTCTGTCAATCAGCTGCCGTGGCTCAACAAGTGGAGCAGGTTGTAAAATGCCATGTAAGTGCAGGGCATGTCCTTTACACTGTGTTAAGTTATTAACATGTCAGTAAATTCAGGCTGTGTGATTAACTGGTTTATGTCTGATCCATCCCATCGACCTGTCTCTAGTTCTGGGAGGTGATCAGTGATGAGCACGGCATCGACCCAACAGGAACCTACCATGGAGACAGTGATCTGCAGCTGGACAGAATCAATGTCTACTATAATGAGGCTTCAGGTCAGAGCTGTTATGAACAAGCAAACTCGATGTCTGTCTGTCGTTTCTTTTCTGATCGAAAAAAATTGACACATGCATTTGTGTTCCAGGTGGGAAGTACGTGCCTAGGGCCATCTTAGTGGATTTGGAGCCAGGCACTATGGACTCTGTCCGCTCCGGCCCTTTCGGACAGATCTTCAGACCCGACAACTTCGTCTTTGGTATGTGATCTATTGATTCTATTGCACAGAGAAAATGAAATTCCATTTTAATTATCAGCATACCAGAGAGAGTTGCTGTATTCGATATAGATAAGTGAAACTGTTTTCCAGTTAAAATGATAAACTAAGACCTTTTCTCAGGATGCGTAAGGCTGAATATTCAAAGGACGGATTATAACTACCCCTTTCCTTCAAGGCCAGAGTGGAGCTGGTAACAACTGGGCAAAGGGCCACTACACAGAGGGAGCCGAGCTGGTGGACTCGGTCCTGGACGTGGTGAGGAAGGAGGCTGAGAGCTGCGACTGCCTGCAGGGTTTCCAGCTTACACACTCCCTGGGCGGTGGTACCGGCTCTGGTATGGGAACTCTGCTCATCAGCAAGATCCGTGAGGAGTACCCTGATCGTATCATGAACACCTTCAGCGTGGTGCCTTCTCCTAAGGTACAGCGATCACGTCACATTCTTATTGGTGTTTTATATTTTTTGTTCTGGCTTTTTATCCCCCCTGACCTTTCCCTTTTCTGCCTCCAGGTGTCAGACACAGTGGTTGAGCCCTACAACGCCACCCTGTCTGTCCACCAGCTGGTTGAGAACACAGATGAGACTTACTGCATCGACAACGAAGCCCTGTATGACATCTGCTTCCGCACCCTCAAACTCACCACACCCACTTATGGAGACCTCAACCACCTGGTCTCTGCCACCATGAGCGGGGTGACAACTTGCCTGCGTTTCCCTGGCCAGCTCAACGCTGACCTCCGCAAACTGGCCGTCAACATGGTGCCCTTCCCTCGTCTGCACTTCTTCATGCCCGGATTTGCCCCTCTCACCAGCAGAGGCAGCCAGCAGTACAGAGCCCTCTCTGTGCCCGAACTCACACAGCAGATGTTCGACGCCAAGAACATGATGGCAGCCTGCGACCCGCGCCACGGCCGCTACCTGACTGTGGCAGCGGTGTTCCGCGGCCGCATGTCCATGAAGGAGGTGGACGAGCAGATGCTCAACGTGCAGAACAAGAACAGCAGCTACTTCGTGGAGTGGATCCCCAACAACGTCAAGACGGCCGTGTGCGACATCCCGCCCCGCGGGCTCAAGATGGCCGCCACCTTCATCGGCAATAGCACGGCCATCCAGGAGCTGTTCAAGCGCATCTCTGAGCAGTTCACCGCCATGTTCCGCCGCAAGGCCTTCCTCCACTGGTACACCGGCGAGGGCATGGACGAGATGGAGTTCACTGAGGCGGAGAGCAACATGAACGACTTGGTGTCCGAGTACCAGCAGTACCAGGATGCCACGGCTGAGGAGGGAGAGTTTGAGGAGGAGGGAGAAGAGGAGGTGGCCTAAGGCTAAAAATCACTCGTCATTTCTCTACTGCACTCATCATAACTCCATCCAACCATCCATCCACTCATCTCACTCCTACTCTGCCCTCTTTCTCTGGCTTTTCTATCACACTATCTCCTCTCTCTGCTCTCCTCTCTCAGTAATCCCTCTCTCTGCCTCCCCTCTGTCTTTCATCAGCAGCCCCTTCTCCACTAGCCACAGTACGATTCACAACACTAAACTGACTCTCCCATCTTGGTGCTCATATAGAGGTAGCTAACACAGTTGTGCTCGTGGTGTTTTGTCAGTAGCTTTCTGTTGATGTTCATTTATCACCATCAGTCCAACAGTACCTCGGCCAAATATTCAATAAAACTGTTCAACTCACGCAAATTTGATCACTTGTCTAATTTGGCATTGATTGAAATAAATTTGTTGGAAAAGATATCCCATTGCTTGTTTGATGTTATTCTGTGTGATACACTTTGAATTATAATACATTTGAAAATGAAATACAAACAGAAGAGATAATTAGCCCTTACACTGTAGATTTAAGTATTTCTGAAATGCCTTTCCAAAACTGTATTTGACTGAAATAGACCAAAGAGAGTATTAAGATTCAGTTTCCAGTTTTACTCTAGATGTCACAGTACGAAGGCAAACCAAAATGGAGACATGCACCGTCCACAGATTAGGCAGTTTCGCATAAACACCACTGGGAGGCAGTGACGAGATCTGTAAGTTTAGAGCCTCTGTGAGCAGGATGTGGAAACATGTTGTTGCCTCTTTTCCACTAAGACACCTATCACACCAAATGCTCTGTTGTGACATGTCAGAAATACTTACTTATATAGATGAATGAAAAATGACATCAAAAGTGAAGAAATGATGGGAAATTTTTTTAATGCAGATCTCACTGAGGTCAAAGATCAGAGATACTTACTCTATATCTTGATTATTCCTGCAGCTGCTGATGCAGATACATAGGATTTGTGTTTTGTAGCTAAAAACTATCTCTTGACCTGATGGCGTATAATTTTTATAGCAGAAGAGAATATCTAATTCTTATGAAGGTAAAAGAAGGGGAAATACTATTAAAAGACAACAACGGAAATCTAACAGAGGTGATATAAATACTCTCTAACAGCTCTGAGAGGTGGTCTCATAACAGACGTCATACAAATACATACACACACACACTGACACAACACACATACTGACATAGATCAGGAAGTGTTCTGTCATTTCGATTGCGCTGATTGCGCAGACTGCTGCTACCGCCGCTGTCTGCCTCCGTTCACACCACTGCTACATCCGAGGTATGACTATCATCTGGTACACCTGCTGAAGACCTCTGCCCTCCTGGACAAACACATGGACACAGACACATCTAGACAACATGGGCTCCAGACTAAGGTGAGTTAATCTTGTCATTTTGGCTCGACCTTCCATCATCACTCTGCCCGTCATTCTGTTCTTGTGGTTTTTATTACTTCCTCTCACAACTGCACAGGAAGTTTCCTGCAGCAACTGTGTTGCCCTTTATGTGCTGCCTGCCATACACTTCGTGGTAGACCTGTTCTTGTTCAAAGCAGAGTAAAATGTTCATCTGTTTGTTGGATATGACCATTATTTGAATATTTTACAGTAATCACACTCAACCAGTGGTGGAAGAAATACTCAGGTCTTTAAGTAAAGTAGTGTATAACTACTCTGGTAAAAGTAGGCTACAAGTCCTGCATTTAAAGTGAAAGTACTAATTATGTAAAATGGCCCACTTCTGCATATTATTCTGAAGTTCTTGGGCTGTCAGATTGTTTTAACAGTTCTCTAAATTAAAGGGAGTTTAGTCTGGGATTTCACAGATTTCACACTTCAAGTTTGAAGTGATTGTTTCATAATTATTAATGCATTAATATGTTCATCACTTTAATGTTGCAGCTGGCCAAGATCAAGCTGATTTAAACTACTTTGTGAATCCCTCCATAGTCTGATCTTTAATAACACATCATACTTTATTACTTGATTGATATTTTGTATGTCAATCTGCAAAGTAATTGGTGACTAAAGTTATCAAATAAATATATAGTATCAAAAAAAGTGCAATATTTGCCTCTGAAATGCACAGTAAATGTAGAAAGTGGCATAAAGCAGAAATACTGAAGCAAAGTACCTCAAAATTGTACTTAAGTACAGTGCTTGAGTAAATGTACTTAGTTACATTACACCACGACACCTGTCTCTAACGGATATATCCCAGTTTACCTTTGTCCTTAACAAGATACCTGTTTCATAACTTCCTGAGAGCAAAATCTTCTACATTTTATGAAATTGTGATTTGAGTCTCTATATATATATATCTATTGGGCGGGACACATCACCCTAACACACCGCCCCATATATTGATAAAAATTTAAAGAAAAAATGTGCTGTTTCGTGAAAGGCAACCACGAACCGTCTGAAATAATTATTAGCAAATGTAATCATAATCACAAATAAATTTAACAAACATTATTATTACTACTGGTTCTAGTTTTTTGCTGTACTGCTTTGTGTGTGGTTTTACAAGTAGTGTTGTTGTACCACAACAGAAGCCATTGCTCGATAACTGTGAATTAACGTTAAACACCACACAGTCTCTATTTCATTACTTCCAAATATATTAAAAAGTGGAAAACTAGAATGTAATGTTAGTGCTATATAGATTACATTACTTTATACAATGTTAGTATGTCGTAAAAAATGTAATTAAAAAAGTTGTATGAAAAGTCACTGAAAAGTCATAGTGTGTTCCTGTGCAGCCCTCATTCTGCTCCCTAAAATGACACTCAGTCATCAAAACTTTGAGAATCTCTGATCTGAGATTTTTGTTTCAAAAGGCTCCAAAATTATCAGTTTAGCTGTTAGGTTTCTAAAACTTCCTCCCCACTGAGGTTTTGGTCGCAGGAGGTGTCAATTGAAAATGGCCCTGATTTGAGTAATATGCTAAATGTTGTGCAGCTTCACAGCAATGTCTCAACATGTTTTGGTGTGAGTACAATTTCACATCAAAGCTGTGAATCTCTTTCTTGTCAGACAAAACCCTGAGCGAACGTTCTACTGGTTCTTTGAAGCAACTTGTCCTGTAGCCAGAGACAAAGGTGAGTCCTCTGTTGATGAGCCGATGTAGTATATGAAATGACTAATTCCCAGCCTGTTCTGGCCTCTAAACAAGTGCATTGTGTGTTAAAGAGACATTCAGACGTGCAGAGTGTGTTGTCAGCAACAGAGAAGTTGATTAAAATTGTTCCTCAAATTCCTCCCGTGACTCTCTGCACCTTCTTCTTGTCATTTTCCTGCATGACCCACCACAACAATCTGATTGCTGCATGACCCACCACAACAATCTGACAGTTAAACACCATCTGACATTTGCTTTACACTTAAAAAGCAACAGTAATTAATTTATGAAATAATGGATAAGATGATAAGACGTAGTGTATATGAAGGTGTTTCTGCTGAGCTGAGAGTTGCTCATACTTCCTGTCATGTGATCAGAAAAACCACACAGCCTGTCTAGTCACACTTGAACCAGATGGGTTTGTGGTAATGTGACACAATGAACAGCTGGGTGTGAAATGAAAGGGTTTAAAATACTAAATACATTTTATTGACAAGTAAGTTGTGTCATTTGCAATTTTGATCATTTGTCACCACATAAACTGGATCTTTTTCTATTTCACTCACTGTTGCCTATAAAACACTGAAAAGATTTTGCTTCTCTACATGTACTTTGTGAATAAAGTTTGTCTGGAGTATTAGCCATGAGGTTCATTCATTCAAGTATTCATTCATTATTTTTAATGTTATAGATCCTGGTGTCCTGTTTCAGTTTCCAGAGGACTTCAGTGATGAGGTAGCCACCCATGTCTCCTGCTCCTGGAAACCTATGATAGTATCATAATTTGTGGATATGTTGTCATGTTAAAATGTTCATAAGGGATTGCAGTGTTAGCCCATCGCTTTGGTTTAGACTATAATATCTCAATTACTATTGAATGGATTGCCATGAATTTTTAGCATTCGTTGTCCTCAGAGGATGTATCTTACTTACTTACTTAGAACAGATCAACATAATAAATGTACAGTGACAAAATGTAACAACAATGTAACAATAACATTAATTTTAGTAATAATATAATAATAACAATATTAGTAATTGTGGTGGCATATGTTGTAAGTATGACTAATGATAACAGCAGCAGTAGGAGGCATCAGGCAGGACCACGGCAGCAGCACAACCACGATACACCATCCAGGCATAGCTGCGATATGAGTTAACCTGCGAGACAGTGGAGCACAAAGGCTCCGGAAAAGAAGCCGAGTTTGTGACATGCAGTAATAGGACGTGAATGTTAGCAAATGAAGAAGAACCAACTTTTCAGAAACTAAGGAGAGAGAGAGAAGGAGCGAAGGTGTATTGTAGGAGGTCCCCCGGCAGTCTAGGCCTATGTCAGCCTAACTAGGGGCTGGTTCAGCCTGAGCCTGCGCTAACTATAAGCTTCATCGAAAAGGAAAGTCTTAAGTCTAAAGATGATATAAAGTTGATGTAAAGTTGATTTTGGTTGTGATGTCAGGCGACCAAAATTTAATTGCAGGACATATGTAATACCAGTGTCATTTTGAGGTACAGTATTGACGACAGATGACACTGATATTTTTTTGGTTTTAAGTTGTGTTGTTAAGTAACTAAAATCAAACCACTTTTCCAAACATCTCATGATAATGTAATCTTGACACAGGATAACAACATTTAATCGTAAGGTATAGAGAACGAAACCCAGCGTCTGCAGAACATCATAATTTTATCATCCACATGACAAAAAATTCTAAAAATGTTATGGGATCGTTTTCATTCCACCCAAAATTTTACATCTGTCTGATGTAAGAGTCCAATGTCTTTCTGACGCCATATTGACATCCAGTGCCACCTGGGTAAGTTTGTAGTAACGTTTGTAATCTGGAGTAAAAGGTCTCAACAGCTATTTGGTGGATTAGCATGAAATGTGGTTCAGACAGTCATGTCGGCCTCATTATGAATTATAATAACTTTGGTGATCTTCTGAAATTTTATCTACTAATTTAATTAATTTGTCCAACACTTTGGTTTATGACCAAATACCTGCGAAACTACTGACCTTTTCATTAGCCTCAGCTTTATTTTGTGGTTCATGCTAATTTGTTAGTTTATTAGATTCTATTGTACCTGCCTAACATTAGCATCAGTGTGAGCATGTTAGCATTCTGACTCAAAACACTGCTGTGCCTCAGTAGTCTCACAGAGCCATTAGCATTGCTGTTGTCTTTTAGACTTTGAGTTTATTTCTCACTTTTCATTTTACACATTTCTTTCCCATGATAGGAGTCTTGTCAAACATTACCCAGGTTCTGCTTCCCGTATGACATACAAAGGTAAGTATAAACTCTCTTTACTCCAGGTTTCATTTCTATTTTGTTTTTCACATGCCTGCCTCTCACTACTCTCATCTGCACAGAGCGAGGGAGGGAGTGGCCGTGCAGCACTTTACTTTTGTTTTGACTGACCTTGAAGGATGCCAGCGGTTTGGCTTTTGTCGTCTCGCCAACAGCACACATACCTGCCTGTGCATACTCAGGTACATTTGTGTGAGGATGTCTGAAGTGAAAGAGTAATTGTCATTTCATAATTGTCAAGTTGAACCATGCCTTTAACATCATGATTAAAACCATTATTATTGAATTTGGCTGCAGTTATCTTCCCTGGTTTGAAGTGTTTTACAAACTTCTCAACAACTTGGCTGATTGCCTCTCAAAAGGACAGGTGAGTTTTCATTACTCATGTGTAATCTTTCTGCTCTGTAATCTGCACACTCTAGTGTGAGTATCATTAACATGACGACCATCATGTTCTCAACAGACCAATGAGATGAAAGCACTGCTGGCTGCTCTCTACAAGCAGCCCTTACCACTGGCAGCTGGGTCTGTCACTCTGCAGATGGTAAATCTCTAATTATCCAATGAGAACCAGGAGTCACACTTGACTTTATGGCTGTTTTTTGTCAGTGGTTAGTGTGTTGTGTTTTTTTCTGAGGGAGAGCAGCTATTGGTCAGCACAGAGGTGTCTCATCCTGTTGGACACCCAGAGGGACAAGAGGGGGTGAGTCCCAAAGGGGTTCATGTGGTCTGGAGTAGCGGCCAAGCGGATACAGACTAACCCCTGCTGGAAAGATTCAGCTATCTTTGCTTGATGGCTAAAACTGATGTGTGCGGACTAAAAACTTGTCACTCACCCCTCTAATCCAATGTTTAAGCCAAACCTAATGCAATTTGCACTAATGTCTGCTGTTCATTGTGACCTTTGGAACTGTTGACTGTTTGTATCCATAACCCATGTATAACCCATGACTGTACTGAGCCCACAGTAAATGTTTTGTCCTACGAGAAAGGCCTCAAAGTGGCCAAAAGCCACAGCTGGTTGTATTTTGTGGATAGTTGCTTGGGAGTTTCATTCCAAAATAAGAAATCATCGGCTTGAAAGAAACATTGAAAACAATAATGTGGTGTCAAAATTGAGAAAATATGATAAAAGTTGTAACCCTGATTGATATGGTTGATAACAGCAAGTGTGGTCTGATACTATAGGTCCAAGAATTCTGGTTGCCTTAGCAGTAACTTGATACAGCTCTGATAGGGCATTAAGTTAGTAAACGCAATTAGAATTCAGTGTGGGAATGGCGGAGTCCGCCACTAACAATGAAAACTTATATATAGAGTGGTAATTACTGAATGCAAATACCCTGAATGGCTACCGCAGATAAATGCCGAATACTGAAGATTACCATAAATAGGATTTGATTTCATAAAAATCTTAACTATAACTTTAAGGCTGTGTTTTAGTAAGACATTGGCTTACATATTAGTTTGCATCTAGCAAGAAATTTTGGAATGAAAGCCTCAAGTCTGATCCTGTAAACTATAATGCATGCATGCCTTGCTGAAAGCAAAAACACTTCTTTTAATTTTCTCCCAGTTTTCTAATTGTGTTTTGTTTCATTCGTTTTGACCAGATTCCATATTTCATCGCTCCAGACCCCAGAAGTCTCCCTTCCATCCCTGAAAATGTGAGTATGGAAGATTAAACTAAACTCATGGTTGCTGTCTTATACAGCAGGTGGGGTTTTGTACATTTTGCCCATTCAAACTAATGTGTGTGTGTGTGTGTGTGTGTGTGTGTGTGTGTGTGTGTGTTGGTTTACCAGAGGAACTTGACAGAGCTGATTGTGGCAGTAGATGTTGGGAACCTTCTCCAGCTCTATGCCAGCATGCTGTTTGAGAGACGCATCCTCATCTTTGCCAGCAAACTCAGCACAGTAAGTCACACTTTTTTGTTCTTTTATTTTTGTAGGATTTTATTTTTACGTCTGTCTAAAGAGGCATGTTCGCTCTCTCAAAACCTTATTGGAGACAGAAACCACTTTGCTGTATGCAGCTACTTGGAAACCAAACTCAGTGCAGCCAGAATAACCTCCATTGTGCTGCCTTGAGGTCACAAATTGACCACCATATGTGGCCTATGGCAGGCCGCACAAAAAGACTTTTGTGTCCTGCATGTTGTTGACTTTAACAGTCGTCCATTTTGTGTTGTGTGTAGCTGACATCTTGTGTGCACGCACTCAGTGCTGTGTTATACCCCATGTACTGGCAACACATCTTCATCCCTGTCCTCCCACCCCATCTACTGGATTACTGCTGGTAAGAAGACTACTTTCCTACCCCCCTACCAACATTCCTCCCTCCTTACCTATGTATCTGCCTACCTACCTACCTACATTCCTCCCTCCTTACCTATCTATCTACCTACCTGCCTGCCTACCTACCTACCTACCTACCTACCTACCTACCTACCTGCCTGCCTACCTAACTACCTACCTCTCTACCTACCTCTCTACTTACCTACCTACATACATACATACATACATACGTACATACTTATCTACCCCCATGCCTACCTTCCTACTTCCCTCCTTACCCTAACCTCATCCCTCCTTATCTTCTTACCTGCCGGTCTACCTACCTCCCTACTTACCTACCGACATACATACTCACCTACCTGCCTACCTTCCTACATCACTCCTCACCTACCCACCTATCTACCTACCTCCCTCTTTACCTACCTACTTACCTACCAAGATCCCTCCTTACCTACCCACCTATCTACCTCCCTCTCTCCCTACCTAGCTATTTAGCTAACTACCTACCTACCTACCTACCTACCTTCCTACCTACTTACCTCCTTACCTATCAATCTATCCACCTACAGTGTACTCACACTTTTTTATTTGGTTACAGTGCACCTATGCCTTACCTGATAGGGGTCCATACCAGTCTATCTGAGGTAAACTACTGATTAAAACAATCTAAAGTCACTTTATTACCAAACCTTTGAATATACCAGCTTTGTCCCTACAGTCTGACACACCCAAGAGATCATACTGTGTCTCTGTGTCCGTCTGACAGAGGGTGAGGAGTCGTGGGTTGGAGGAAGTCGTAATTCTGAATGTGGACACAAACACTCTGGAAACCCCCTTTGACGACATGAAAAGGATACCTTCAGATGTGGTAACAAAAAGTTTTCTGTAATAAATGCTCCGTGTGTAGGTTTGTGTAATCATATATGTCTTTTTGTTGTCTCTCACTTAACACTTAACTGTTTTTATAGAAAGGAGAGTATGACTGGAGAGTTATTTAAGTGAAATTTGTACCACAGAATCAGCAGATGCTTGTTAGTTAAAGGGCACAGGTGGCCTGGTGACATATGGCCCAACAGGAAATAAACTAGGAAGTAAAAGTGCCTTTTATGCACTCCTGTTTGCGTTTACACCACATCTGTAGGGGCGTGAAGATCAGGAAAATTAGACTGACAACAAATGTAAAAACAGCAACTTCAACAAATAGGAAGCAAAGCAGCTGATGGTTACTGTGTGAATATATTCTGTACACTGTACAATGTACACAGTACACACGTTGTCGCAGCTTCACACTTGGGACTAGTCAGTGATGATCACCATTTAAAACTCAGCCTTACTAGCCCCTGCACAATCAGAAAGTACCACCACCAGAGCAGAGACATTTTGGGGCAAGAAACTTTTGCAGAGCAACCAAATTTAGACCGTGGTTCCTCTGGCGGAAACATAGCAAGACTGAGAGTTCCTAAAATAGCTCCAAAAATACAGTCAGGGGCTTTTGCTAGATTTTTTTATTGTCGCTGTCTACAATTGACAATCTAACAAAGGCAAAATGACAAAAAGGTTATTCTCTGTAGCAGAATGGTGTTGTCTTCATCATAGTTATTGAGCAGCAGCAGCAGTTGCTCTTGATTTATATCACAGACATAAATGTGCATATGTCTCCAGATGTCCGAGCTGAAGGTGTGTTTGAAGCGTCAGGCGGTGTCTCCTGGCTGTGGTGTCTCAAGGGCCTTCCTGAAGGCTCAGGCTCTGCTGTTTGGAGGCTACAGGGACGCTCTGCAGGGTCACAAGGTCAGTCACTCAAAACAGTTTTTGCAGAGTTTAACACTTAAGTTTCTTTCAATAAAAATTACAGCACTAAAGTGTTCTCTGCATTTCTATGGGTCATTTCTACGGGCAGCTTTACGTGCCTGTGTATATTTTTTGGACTCTGTTGTGACTATCTCTGTCTTCCTTTGCAGGAGGGTGAGATGTGGTTCAGTGAGGAACTGTTTCTAGATCACAAGTCTGCCAGTATGAGGCAGTTCCTGCAGAGTGCCATTCATTTACAGTCCTTCAAACAGGTACACACTATGCCTCATGCTGATTACTGCCCTCTGCTGGACAGATACTGCCATTATAACACAGGAGAAAGTCTAGTTGGGCAGAGAATTTCAGGTCTCAGTCGCTTTGGTATATTTCTCAAATCAGAATTGAAACTACTTTTTCAACCTCCACGTCATCGAGTCACTTGTGCACATTGAGTAAATTACAATGGTATGGCAAACTCATACAAATGATGATGTACAACTGTCTGCTGTTTCCTACATTATCAAATGCCAGCGTAATGTCGATCAGAATGTATTATACTGGTTCTGTGTTGAACAGTCTTACCCCCAAAAAACATCAGGCATGAATTAATTGCATAGGTCATTACATGCAAAATGGCTGGTTGTCATTATGTGTCAAGCACATTATCTACACATTATTAGACTTTTTTTTTGTAAATGTGTCCTAAATTGATGAATTGTTCTCAGGTGAGTCTTGACTTTCAATAATGCAGGTGAATGTATAAAGCATTAGATCAACCAATGATCAACCAGTTCTCTGAAATAGCTCACAGGTGCATCTTATCTCATGGATAAGACATTCCAAAAAAATTCTTTACACGATGCATTGCAAGGAAAGGTATCCATTGCGATGAATCTGTGGTGCGACAGACAGGAATGTCAGTGCTATTCTCCATACAGCAGTGCATGTACAGTTCTGCCCAAGGGGTGTTTCCTGTTTTCATCATCCATCGTTTATTCAGGGAAAATTGACTAAGCATTGAGCTCTTTTACAGCAATGCCCTGAGATAACATTCGATGGGCCAGAAGGATGCAGATATTTAATTGCGATAAAGTGATGAAAAAAAGTCCATAAAAACAAAACAAGTAGCAGCAGTGTCTATCAAGAATTACAAACAGCAATAAAAAACATTAAAAATAATTTAAGGACATATACATAACAACAACAACAATAAAAACAGTAATATGTAGGAAATCATGTCTGTCATTTAACCAAAGCAGCAACACTGTAAAACAACCATATCATCTAGCATACACTTGAAATGATCTACAGATACATACCTGTCCAGTTTAAATACCTCTTGCAACTTGTTCCATTTATGTGGGGTGAAAAAACTAAAAGCTAATTTACCGAGCTCAGAACTGATCTGAGGGGTTTCAAGGGATGAAAATTCCTGTCAGTCCTGTGTGTGGAGCATTTTCTTTTTTTGTCCTGTGTGCTATGCAGTGCTGTAAAACAGTCTTTTTCTTTTCTGTATTGCAATGGCATGATCTGTCAACAAATTAAAGTACAAATTGTAAAGGTGTAAATGGGAATCCTGTCCAACTCTCACAATCAAATCTGCCACATTCAGTAATGTGTGACTTTGTACTGCTGAAATTGACATAAATATTTACTTTAGAGATTTTGATTAAGATACAGGCTTGTGCAGATAAGACAATGTGTGGTGCTGTTTGTACGAATAGTTTCCTAGAAGTGCATTTATTGTTTTGCAAGATGATTCAGGAAATATACCAAAGCGACCGAGAGAAAATGTCTCCGACATCGTTTGATGCAGGTTCTTAATTTCACAGACTATGTGTTGGTTGCTATTTCAGGCCTGGTGTTTAGATGTCTAACATGATAAAAGCCACAGAATTGTATGCTGCATGATAAAGTGCTGATAAATCAGTTGTGAAGTCAGCTGGTCATCCTTAGGTTACTGCTAACGAGTGAGCATTCTCATGTATTTTATTCTAGTAATTAAAAATGATCAAATATTTGTTTGCTTTTTTAGTTCATTGATGGTCGCCTGGATATTCTAAACAAAGGGACGGAACCAGACGATCTCTTTGAGGAGGAGATCCTAAAGTGTGAAACAGCTGCAGGTGTGTATTTGTGTGTGTGTGCATGTGTCTAATTACCTAGTACTCACTTAACACTCATCCTCTTCCCTTTGTGCTTCTGTGTGTTTACAGGGAGAGGCAGATCTTATCAACAGCTAGTTGGTAATTTGAAGGTAAGCTTTCATTTTTAATGAAACAGTTTGAAGTTTGTTCCTCTCTTGCTGAAACGTGCAACACTGACGCCCTTGTACTTTTGACAGAAAGGGGGAGGAGCCCTCATCCTTAACATGAAGTCCAAAGCAAACATGAGGGTGAGTGTGAGCCAAGGTGTTTTTGCAGGGAGGAGGGCGAGTGAATATAGTCTGTGTTATCAAAACAACTCTGTTCACAATGATTTTAATCTCTCCCAGGCCAAAGGTCTCACCAAGTCTGGGTTGAAAAACCTGCTGATGCACAAGGTGGGTCAGTGTTTATGTGGGCACATGCTTCAATTGAATCAAAATCTGCAGTGGTGTTACTATAATACTTCTCCTTGTGTGTGTGTGTGTGTGTGTGTGTGTGTGTGTGTAATGCAGGTCCACAATGACGAACACTCCCTACAAAGGGGAGGATCTATGTCACACCGCCGTGCCCAGTCTGACTGCTTGCAGAACCGCCTGCCAATCACACAACACTTTGGGAAGGTGAGATCTGTCTCAAAACAATCACATATCTGTTTTAAATATTATAAAACTGTAACAGACATCATACACATTCACCCTCCTCATTACCCAATCTGCTTATTCTACTGTCCTGCACTGCTTCTTTGTGCTGTTTGCACCTTTTATTGCTCCATTTCTATGCTCTGCTTTATTTTGATTCCCTCCAATATCTGTCACCTCTGTTTGGGAATGTTGCGTTGCTATTTCTTTGCCTCGTTACTCTATGTTGCCTCATGTCAGTCTCGCCCCCGTCGGCCTGCTCACAAACTTAGGGCTCCCAGAGACGAGGAGGATGTGCAGGACAACAGAGACACATGGGATGGGTGAGAGTCAGAGAGAAACTGAGAGATGGAGAAATGTGGAAAACCCCAGGGTAAATATAACAATACATGTATAAATGTTCTTGTTTGTGCCATTCCTGCTTATCTCTTTGCATCAGAGCTGTGTCTGGCCCCGTGGTCGAGCCTGACTCTGAGCTCCAGAAGGATGAAGAAGAAGGGGAAGATTCCATGCTATGTGACTCAGAGGAGATGGATCTGCTGGGGGAGATCTTTGACACGCTCAGCTCCCGGAGCTCCCACGACCGCGGCCTGCTGTACGGCACACGTAGCCTGGATCTTTTTGGACCAGACAGCCATGACTATATCACAAAGGTAAGAAGATCACACACACACACACACACACACACACACACACAATGTGAATGTGATTTCTGGTCTTACATTAGCTGTTGTGTTTTCCAGTGTGGTTTTCCAGCCAACCCCAGCCAGGAGAGCCTGTCCCTGTCCATCAGCGGCAGTGGCAGCCTGCACAGCTGGAATCTGGAAACCACAGAGGAGCTGTCAGACCTGACGGAAGACTCTGATTGCCTGGACACCAGCGTGCCAGAGAAGGAGGAGACAGAGAGTCTGCAGGCAGCGTGTGAAATAGAGGAGCAAGAAAGCAGACAGAGGGAGGTAGGAGAGAAACAGGAAGAAGTGAAGGTTGCAATAAATGGGAAACAAGAAGAAGAAGAAGAAGTATATGATGGAAATAACTCAGAGGAAGTGAAATTAGAGGAAGAGATAGAGAAAAGGAGTCAAGAAAAGAGAGTGAGTTTAGGAGAGGACCCTGTGAAAGAAATGGCTGAAAAGTGTGAGGATGACGGGTTGAAAGAAAATCAGGAAGATCAGCAAAGTCAGAGTGAGGAGATAGCTGAGGGACAGGAGAAGGACGGAGCGAATGAAATGCAGAAAGATGAAGCAGGAGAGGAAGAGGGAAAAGAGCAGCAGGAGGAGAAAGGTAAAGAGGTGGAAGAATCTTTAAACAAACTAAATCATCCCAATGATGAGGAGCAGCAGCAGCAACAGGAGGACAATCTGAAACTCACAGCATCTCCAGGGCCCCAAAGTCTCATCATTGACCCTAAACCTCCAGCAGGTCAGGAAACAAAGAGTGAAGAAGCAGTGAAAAAAGAGGAGCAGAAGTTGAAACAGACCCCCACTCCTCCTAAAGTGCTTTCTGCTGTAGCACACTTCCAGTCTCAGGCGCATAGCCAGAGCTTTCAGGTGAAGTCCAGGACCAAGCCACTGGCTGAATCTGGGAGACCCTGCAACACGCTTTGGAGCAGAGAGAACGCACAAACTCACCCGCCATGTGACTTGAATGTATCGGAAGGGAAAAACCGCTCAGAGGAGCACGAGGAGGAGGAGGAGCTGCCTCTAATCAAAGTGTCTGAACTTAAGAAGAGATTTGAAGCTTAAAGGACGGGGCTGGTGAGATTCTAGTTGGTCTTACTTTCAACAAATCCAATGAAAATACCAAAATGAGCAAAGTCTGTCTCTCAGTACTTGCTGGTTTCTCCAGTTTCTCCTGCCTGTGTGTGACTCTCAGTCCCAAGCCCATTGGCTTCTATTGTAGATCTTTGAAAAGGGGACACAAGCAAGGCTGTAGTCATGTTGCCAATGTTGTTTGTGGGGGGGGTGGGGGGGGGGGGGGGGGGGGGGGGGGTGGGGGGTGGGGGGGGCTGAGTGTGTGTTCATCATAATGAAGGAACACGCCACCCAGTGACAGTGTGGCTCACTCGTGTGGTTTGAATAGGTTTTGGTCTTTTCACGGGATTTGTTGAAAGTAAGGAAAAACACAAACTTGCTGGCAGGTCACCTCACCAAAAATGAGCAAATATTTAAAGAGATTTTTGTTTGTCTGAACGTCGTGCACTTCATGAAATGACTGGTGAATTCCACTTAGAATTAAGTAAACAAGGCTGCATGAATGAAATCAATGAGTTCTCTAACAGTGAGGGCGAATGATGTTTAGCGTATCTGCTACTGTATGATGGCCCGTTTGTCACTGATGCATGAATATTTTCTACAAGTGTATGTGTGTGAGAAAGAGATACGCACTCCATCAGCTAAAACTGACAAATGATGAGTTTTGCATTTCTGGTAAGTCTTCACACAGAATCTGAATATCTGAATAACTTAAAAACTAATAAACTCAACATGTTGAACATTTACCGTAACATCCCTTCAATGCTGCGAGACAGGGGACAGACAGGGTCGTGCACATTCCTTGTTTATTTACAGAACACCTTGTGTAGCATGCATACTGACTTTTTTTTTATAATTTTTTTAAGAAATTGAGCTTCTCATAGCGTGACATAAAAGTGCATCACAGTCATTGTTTTCATCAATATCCTTCATCATTGGAAACAGTGTAAAACACAGTGTTTTATATATAAATACACAGAACACAGTTCAAATATACTAACCTCTGTACAAATACAAAATATACTTTAGCTCATGTTCTTTATGTGGCAGAATAAAGGGAGTGAGTTTTTTTTATAAAGGAATACAACAGGCATTATAATGGCACATTTCATGCGGTGAAACAGGTGATAAAAGTGACAGTCTGTATTTGTCATCGAGAATGAAAAGGTGCGGCACAAACAGTGTTCCTTATGTCTAAAGAGTTTCTGGTGCAAAGGACAAACACGGGTCATCCCCGAGGACAGCCACACAGCAACATCAGAAGACATCAGGCATCAATCCTCAGTTGTACACAGTGACGGGGAGTGGCTCAGGTGTGAGTCCACTTTTATGCGTTCATCATATGAGGCGCTCTTCTTTGGGCAGCGGTAGAGGCAGGCCAGGTTTTTCAGATCCCGCTGATCCCGTCTGTTTCTTCTCCTCTGCGCTGGGCCTGTATGTTCCCTCCATCCTCCTTTTCTTCCTGATGAGGCACAGCAGCAGCAGCACAACCAGGCTGAGCACGGACAGCACGGTCAACACAAACACTGATACTGTAGGGGAGATTAACACTTGCATCGCCATGGTGACAGACAGCTGAGGAGGGAATCACACACACAGGTAGGGCAGAGGGGTCAGTAAATGTATAACTCCAGATAAAACTATTGATTGAGGTCAAACAAAGTCTATGTGATGTTTTGGTATGCAATATCCAAAGAATTTCAAAGAAGTTTCCTGGAGAGAACTTTGTAATTTGGCACTTCATTATACATTTTCGATGATTTAACTTTTATTTTACTGGGAATATTCCCATTGAGTTTCAATATCTCTCTGGTCAAGACAGTAGCACAAAGAGTGTCACAACAGACTTAAAACCAGCTGCGGATTTACAGCACACAACTGAATTATCAGCATTCTGTGACTCCTTCTGTAAGTCCTTAATCCTGTTTTTCAAATCTCTCAAGTTTATAATATGAGCCAGATTAAGGTGTCTCTGTAGCAGACGCTGTGATGAGGGAGCAAAAACCTTAGGAGAACAGTGCAGGTTCGTGGACGGACGCACATAAATTGTTCATGCGACCAAAGGTTGCAGTTATAGTGATAGTTTTAGGAGTCAGTAGGGAAGGAGGAGGCAGTTTATGTAATATGTCCTCATAAAGAACTGCTATGACATGCAGAAAGCCAAATCAAAGATGAATCACAACGGGAGAATGCAGAGAATACAGAGCGTGTTCAATTGGTGCACTTCAAATTACAGTAAAAGCATATCCTACAGTCTTTGAATCAATGAATAGCAGGTAAACTAAATATGTAAAAATAAAAATTGTTATTTGTCTACAGGCAAGCATACAACAGTAACGTTTTTAATAATGTGAATTCACTTATGAATATTTTCACGTGTTTAAAATGAGCTTTTCTTTTGAGGGAATTCATTTTTTTTTTTTGTAATTTGTACCAAAGCACACTCTTCAAAAATTTAGGGGAACACTTAATCATCAGTATAACACCCCGTCAGTTAAACTTCAGGGATATCAATCTGTCCATTTAAGAAGCACAAGTGATTGTGAATCAGTTTCAGCTGCTTTGGTGAAAATGAAAGTGACAACAGGTGCAATGGAGAGGCAAAAGCAAGACAATCCCCACTAAGGAATGGTTTTACATGTGGTGGCCACAGACAGTTGCTCTCTCCTTATCCTTCCTTCCTGACTAGTTTGGTGTTCTGCTAGTGTCCTTGTCACTACTAGTAGCATGAAGCGGTTCCTGCAGCCCAATCAGGTTGCACAGGTAGTCCATCTCCTCCAGGATGGCACATCCATATGTGTGGTCGCAAGAAGGTTTGCTGTGTCTCCCAGCACAGTCTCAAGAGCATGGAGGAGATACCAGGAGACCGACCATTACGCCAGGAGGGCTGGACAGGGTCGTAGACGGGCATCAACCCAGCAGCAGGACTGGTATCTGCTCCTTTGTGTGAGAAGGAACAGGAGGAGCACTGCCAGAGGCCTACAGAATGACCTCTAGCAGGCTACTGGTGTGCATGTTTCTGACCAAACTGTCAGAAACAGACTCCAGGAGGGCTGCATGAGGGCCCACATCCTCTAGTGGGAGCCGTGCTCACAGGTCAGCACCATGCAGCTCGACTGGCCAGAGAACACCAGAACTGGCATATTCGCCATTGGCGCCCCATTCTCTTCACAGGTGAGAGCAGGTTCACAGTGAGCACGTGAAAAAGTCTGGAGACGCCGTGGTGAACGTTATGCTCCATGCAACATCATAAATCATGAACAGTTTGGTGGTGTGTCAGTGATGGTCTGGGGAGGCATATCCTAGGAGGGTCACACAGACCTCCATGTCATAGCCAACAGACTGCTGTTAGGTACCTGGAAGAAATTCTCGGAGTGACTGTCCGACCTTATGCTGGTGCAGTGGGCTCTCAGTTCCTCCTGGTGCAGGACAGTTCCCGGCCTCATGTGGACAGTGTGTAGACGGTTCCTGGATGACCAAGGCGTTGATGTCATTGCCTTGCCCTCTCATTTCCCTGACCTAAATCCAACTGAGCACCTATGGGACGTTATGTATCGGTGCATCCGACACCGCTAAGTACCACCACAGACTGTCCAGGAGTTCACTGATGCCCTGACCCAGGTTTGGGAGGAGATCCTCAAGGACACCATCTGCTTACTCATCAGGAGCATGCCCAGACGTTGTCAGGAGGTCATACAGGCATGCGGGGGCCGTACAAACTACCAAATCCAGCTGAATCCAGCCCTCCATATGTTGATGGTTTTGGTTTCCACTGTTACATCATTTTGCTCTCAACAATTTATACAATGTACATCAGTAAAGATTTTCAACTTAAATAATTCGTTTATCAAAGTCTGATGTGTGATTCAAGTCCTCCCTTTAATTATGAGCAGCGTTTATACCAGGAAACATCCTAGGAAGCAACATTCCCAGAAAATGAGGAGTTACCAAAGTCTCCTTAGCAGCAAATGCGGGAATGAGATCATGTCTGAACTCACCTTTCTAAGAACAGAAAATATTGCGAGGCCTGTGTTCTTACATCGGGACCAACACAGCATCAGCTGGATAGAAATGACAGTGGGGCATCTGAAAAAAAAGGACAAATCAGAGGTTGATCAGATGGGTCTCAGCACTGTCCAAGATTTTATGAATAAGAGAAAAAACAGATGCTTTAGGTTAGACAGCATTGACTGAGAAAGGCCCATGTCAAATCACATTTTATTCATACAACACAAATTGTGAAAAAACAAAACAAGGTAATTAAATATGCATGTGAACAAGAGAAGGGGAGAGACCATCACCACAGGTACATACAGTGTCTGTGTGTCTGGCCTGCTGTAGACAGTTTACACCTCATGGAAATGAGAAAGACTAAAAACTCCACAGCCAGATGACCTGTGTAACAAAAAAGCAACCTAATTGTCAAGGAAATATGCTTCTTCCAGGCCTTTGTTACCCCTTTTCCACCAAATTAGCTATAGTTTTTTAACTGGTTCTGTTTGGGATTCTTGGAACCATGACGCTATCCAGCTCACGTTTCCACCAGTTGAGAGTGGAACCATTGTAATCAAGGATGTGTCATCAATGGAGGTCGTTGCACAATGCACAATGGGAGAAAATAGTTGTAGGAAAATCATGGATTGCATTGATTAGCTGCAAACATTAGTTCTGTTATTACAGATATTAGTTTTTATTATTAGTGTTAATGAGACCACTGCACTCTCTATTTTTCTGACAGTTTCTCACTTGACTTCTCCATTGCTGTCATCTCCATCCTCTCTTTCCAACCTGTACAATACCACACACCCACTGCACAGTTCGCACTTCAGCTCAAGAAAAACCTGTATTTTTTGGTTCCGGTTGAGAACCAATGTTTCGGGGTTTAAGCCAATTTATTTTGGTGGAAATGCCGGTTCAAAATTAGGTGTCAGAGCAAGTACAGAACCAGTTCCATGTTGGTGGAAGAGGGGTATGGGAGCTTTAAATACCAGGAGAAAGATCTTATCAACTCAGGACAGCTAAAATGTTTAGGAGCAATTATGTCACTGACACAACTCAGACAAGACAAGAACTTCAGCATTTTGGATGAGCTATAGATGAGTTGCACGCCTTGAGAAAAAAATGGCACCATACTTTTTGTTGCTCCATGTATGATGTTACATCTTGTCCAATACAACACCAGGAAGTATGAGCTCTAAAGTTACCACAGAGGTCAATAAACACTTCACTAACACAAACACCAAAGTTTCGGCTGAGTGTTTCACATAGGTAGTATTTACAGCAGGGCTGTGGTACTGGATTGTATTACATTCGTCAGGGTTGTTGAAGTTTTCCGCTCAGCGAGTGTGTTATTTCCAAAAAGACCAACAATATGCCGTACACTGAAAGTTAGCCTAACAGTAGTGCAGGTAGACAAAGACAAACATGTTGATTTATGTGTGAGCAGAACAATCAATGCTAATGAAAATATTATGTTATAAAAATATATATTATAGTGCAGTATCCAAATTGCAGGAGCTGCAATTATTGCTAACAAGTAAAATCTGTCACAGCATCCCATTATAAATAAAGCATTGAGATGCTACAGAGATGGCTACAAATTATAATCCAGATTTACGGAAACATACACTCTAAAACAATGACAAAATGAAGTTTTTCATCATTAAAAAAAATTAAGTTATTTTCATTAACATGTTTTAGTCCATTGACAACTTATTTTAAGAAGACGGTCATAATCCAAAACATTTTTGACACTGTTGAGTAGAATGGAATTAAAATAAACAAATCAGAATATGTTAAATATATAGTTTCACTGTCACTAAATATCAGCACAACTTTTGGAGAAATATCAATTGATTCAACTTAATTAAGGTTTCAAGGTCAAAGCAAATCATGTTGGTTGTACTGAACTAATTGAGTTTGTCAGATAAAAAAGACTCATGGGATTTACTCAATGATGCTAGAATTGGAGCTACTTAAAAAGATGCATGCAAATTGTTACCTTAATAATCTTAAATTTAATTTTTTATTGTTGGTACTCCAGCAAAGATCACATTGTCATCATTTTTATATTTCTGTCAGTTAAAATGACATGCAAAAAATACCACTCCCACCAAAAACACAACTCATATCGCAATATCCATCAAAATAACTGCAATGATTTTCTTTTTTGCTATAATGCCGTTCTAATAAAAAGCATTACAGCTGAAGCGATTAGTCAATTCATTTCCTAATGGAAAATAAATTGGCAAATATTTTGGTAAGAAACCAATCATTTGAGTCACTTTTTGAACAAAAATACCAAACATTTATTTGCTACTTCTCCTTTTATATTATACTAAATTAAACATATTTAGTCTTTCAAGACAACTCAAGATGTCTTGAAGGAAGCTGTCAATGTCATTTCCCATTATTTTATATTTTATAAGCAAAATCAATTATCAATTGTTTGAGAAAAATATCAGTTGTATTCCTACAATGATGAATTAACTTTTACCTGTACACATCAATTAAAATAAATCACATATTTACTGTTGCTGCACCTTTGTAACCTTTGTGTAAATGAGTTTATAAATCAATATATAATATGTTTACATGGACAGACCACCGAAACCACAGAGTACATCCTCTTAAGAACCACATAAGATGGATATAATGATGCAGTAGAAGAAAGAGAGGAAATTAAACTCACCATAAATGACCTGTCGCGTTACACACTCAGGTTATTTCAAAGATAAAGTGTTGGAGCTCCTTCAGACTCTGAAAAAGCCAATTTCCTCCCTAATCCTGAACTAAACTAATCACACCGACACACCCACTCAAGTTTTATACTGCAACAGGCGGACGCATGTGTGCGCGCGGCGGAATGCTGCAGTTCCTGCTGCACCTGTTGAGCCGGTGCTGCTCGGCTCAGGTGAGCCTCCTGCTGCTGCTGCTGCTGCTGCTGCTGGGAAATGACAGGTGAAACCGCTGATACGTAAAGAATACAGGAGCCTCTGCAGGCTCTCTGACTCACGAGGACGCTCAGAAACGGTTTCGGTTATAGCTCGAGTCGCAGGTCACCTGTAGTCTGTCTTTGAGGGGAAATTTGGTAAATGACTCGGGTGTTACCTGCCGGTTAGTGAGCGTACAGGTGAGATGACGGCCGACGTGCCCCGTGGTGACTCTTGGTTCAGAGCAAGGTGTTGTAGCAAAGCGACAAAAGTTTTAATCCAGCCCGGGCTTGGTGTGTACGCGGCATAGCTGAAACTATTTTCTCTCACACTCACCTGCCTGTGCATATGCAAATGAGCTTAGTCACTTGTCCTGTGTGCGCCAATCAGAAACGTCTTCTTATCTCACTTCCTCTGCCTGCTGCTCACTCCCTTCTTTTTCTTTTTTCTTTTTTTTTTTGCCATCAAATAGTTTTAATTTTGACATTTCATGATCTTATTGCTTGTTTTAAAATGTCCTACTTTGAAAGCACAAAGCACAGAGCTGAGTGCAGAGATGCCTGGGTTGACTGATTGCCAGATGATCAATCACTGTGATATCATGAAGGTTTAATAATTAGAGAGGAAAGGCCTTGAGCGAGTTGAGAAGGCTGTTGTTTGTCAGATGGGGACAATCTGCTTTCTGGTGTGGCCTACTTTCATTATTACTAATCAAACAAACTTTGTCCATGTCCAAATAGTAGGACTCCTGACGTGCAGGACAAAGACACAGTGTGGATTTGGGCTTATCAGAGGTTAAAAAGAAAATAAGAATGAGTCATTCAAAGGAAAGTTAAACGCACAGATATAATGTCTCTTCAGACCTACACAAGTCACACAGAGAGGCTTCCTTTTTTAGTACAGACCTTTCAAACGTGTAGGTTTCCTTGCAAAATTGGAGGTAGGGATGGGCACATTGGGGGCTTTGGAAATTTTGTGCATCAAACACTTCATTTCCTTCATCCTGGTGTATTTTCTGCACAACTTTATGGTGGAGACAGTTTTATGTAAGGTAAAACACCAGGTGACAATTCAAAACAAAAAAACATATTATGGCAGATAGTGCAGTGAGGCTCTCAGGCATCCTGTATTGCTCTTAAACGTTTATTCTCCTGTAGATCATCTTTTCTTATTTAATATAGCTTTGCAGAGTACACACACACACACACACACACACACACACACACACACACACATATACATCCTCTTTTGTGTCTTTTGTCTGGAAAATTAATCTCTGTAAATGTGCATGTGTCACCAGTGATAAATTATGCAATTTTAATTAATAGACAAACCCCTGAACTTTAATTTCATTTCATTTATTTGTCTCATGACCATATCACATGGCATGCAGTACAAACATTACACACAATAACAAAACAATGGCACACGGTGTGGCTAAAGTACAGCCAATGCTACTTAAACAAAGGAAGGACATTCTTCAAAAAATAACCTAGTTTACAAATGACTTGTGGCTTATCTGATTGTAATAATAAAATTAATGTAAACATAGATGGACAGTTTAACTAATACTTTGGCAAATACCTTTCTCTGTAAGTCATCCAGCTTACATTCTGACATTCAAACAATATGAAACTCATCTCCCACATGATCATCACCACAGAGGCTGCAGATCCTCTGGTTTCTGTCCAGCCTTTTATATCTTCCACTGACTTTAGAAATTCCATGGTGACACCTATACACTCGTACTACGCAGGCTGAGCAAACTGTTGTACATTATTCCACTGAGTTTAGTTTCCTTACCCTCTATCAGCCTCCCATAGTCACCATTAATTCTCTTTCTACCTGCAATACAGAGTGGATACCTTCCTAACTCCACATTGACATATTATTGCAGGTTGTCATTTTAACTTTTAGGATATATTTTTGAAATTTGAGATGTAGTTTTTCCAATATCTATTCTTTCGAACCCCCACACTTCAAATGCATACAACATTACTGGTGTAACCAGCATGTCAAAAAGATCAAGTGTGATATCTGCAGGTAAATTAGATTTTCTACATTTACGGAGAATGGCAAACATTGCACGAGAAGCTTGCTCCTCCATGGCGGTCTTAAATGAACCATTATAATTCACAATGACTCCCAAGTTATTAAGCAATGAGCAATCTCTAAAGTTTCTTAATTACACACAAATTTCAATTTACTGATGCCAGCTTTTCTGTTGCCAAAAACTGTGATTCGAGTTTTATCACTATTAACCTTTAACCTCCATTTCTCGCAGAAATCGCACACATATGTGTATTTTGGTAAGATTTCTGTAAAAACATATCCCACGTGAATAAAGTCATAATATTTCAAGAAAAAAAATCTACCTGCCCTAAAGTGTGCTGTGCATGACATTATTGCTCTGCTGATATGTTAGTATCCCCATCAGGCCATCTGACAGACACAGAGCCACGTTTGGGACTCTCTCTGGATGAAACACTGTTTAGGGAGGTGGCTTTGTGCTGCCTCTCACTGGAGGTGGAAAATTGAAACTAACCAACACATTCTCACTCCGACCTCGTCACATATTGATCTTGGTCATGGACTTTCCACATCCACATACGACGTGCAAGGTACCCTGGGTGCATTGGTTGTTGACGTTCTGGGACACCGTGTCAGGTCCTGCCTGTTACATGCATTGTCTTCTTTCAAAATACAGTTCCATATTCAAAGGGAAATTTAACGTTTACATACAGTCTCTTTCAAAATAAACACAGTACGTCGGTTCAACAAATTGACTTTTTTTCCCCTTCAACAACAAACGCACATTGTTGGGTTTAGGCAAAAAAAAGCACGTGATTAAGTTTAGGAAAAAAGAACAGGGTTTGGCTTTAGACTCTTACAGGACGTGAACACCGCTCTCTCAGGTCAAAGTCGGTGTTTGTTGGACCTATCCACTGCCTCTTTCACCCACCCCAGTTGGAGTTTTGCCACCAAAACATTCGTCCTTGTCCCGCCGTGTTTCCCCCTGACGCCGCTGAGCACCATTAAACTATAATGGCAACTGTCCATGTATCATGCCGACATTAAAGGACACCTTTTTTTTGTTGGTTTCTGATGCCACAAGTCACTGCCCAAGCACCAGATTTGGATGACTTCAGAGTGAGACCGGGCTCAACCAACCAAAAAACACCTCTGATCAGCATAGTGTGGCTCATTGTCCATACAAATGTCAACAGTACCACCACCTCCTTCAGTGGGAAGGACCCTGATGCACATCTTGTTGACAGAGTTTTGGCGCCAAAGATGTAACTACAGCCTCTCACATGTTAACAAGAAATGGCAAAGTTAGTCATACTAGTGATATTGGATTGGGGAGGTAGGAGTCATAGCAGAGAACTAGATCAGTTGTAAAAAGAGTAGCCTATTAGAATTTACTTACAATAAACTGCTATGTCCTTGGCTTGCATTTGACCCAAGAAATAAAAAAAAATAATGTGAAAATATTTTTTGAAATAATTGGTGCATATTTTAGTGAATCCAGTCATTTTCAAAATATTCGAAAGATTAAAAAGTACATTTGCGAATACTTGTGAATACTTAAAAAAATATCTAAAGCAAGGAATCTCTGTATGTATGTATATATGCCTGTGTGTGTGTGTATATGTGTCCTTCGCGTATCTGTTGAACCTTTCATTCAATTCACACTTGGTGGGTGTATTAAATGCTGTTTTGCAGGGTATCATAAAGCCGTAGCAATAATAGTTATGGTTATCACATAAAAAAACAGAATTTTTTAAATCAGAAACTGATGCAGCTAATAACCTGTGCCTGTCAGTGCAGGTATATCTGATGATTTGTAAAAAGTAGATATAGCTAATCCTGCAAATGGCAGTTGATCCATGATAGCTGGGCTGAAAGTGAACAAGGGCAGGTGTGGTTCATTTAAATCTGAACTATGCTGCTGTCAGAGGAGCCGCTGACTGAGACAGCTGTGAAAATTGTCTGCAAAGTCTAGCGAGGCAGTTGCCAAGTGTGTGTGTGTGTGTGTGTGTGCTAAACACACTCTATTTATTATTATTTATTTATTTATAACCGCAGTGGTGCAGACTGAGTAGAGCATGTCTTCACTTATGTTCATTGTGTATGTTTGCCAAACTATCTTGTAACACTAATAATGTTACCGCCTGCAACATAGGACCGCCACTACTTAAATTCATGTTCTACTGTATAACCGTGATGGTTATCTCAAAGCAAGTCACTAATATACCTGTTTGAAAATTAATACAACGGTTAATATTTCACTGGTGAGTTTTTCAGAGGCAGATATGATTTGGGGGCCCACTTCCAACCCAGCTCCTCTTTTTCATGTTGTATCTGACTTATCAATGTAATTTCTGTTTGTCATTAATGCTGCTCTGCTCTGTTCTCGGGGGGTCTTTGCTGCTGCTCTCTCTGCTTTAGGCTTTCCATGTAGGCGCATGGGAGGGCAGGGAGGTGTGCTCTCTCTGCCTTATGGTTTTCCACATAGGCGTGTGGAAGAGGCTTTCTGTGTAGGCCCAAGGAAAGGCAGAGGGGCTCCAGCACAGAGCCACACTGTCAAATATAATACTGCAAATGGAAATAAAGTTTTCTTTAACTAAAGTATTCCTGACTGAACTAATAATACTGCTCTGTAAAAGTGCTGCATTAATATTTCTATTCAAGGTAAGCAGTGAAAGACAGTAATCAGTAATGTACTTGAATTTACTTAACATCTGTTTAAGGTGTTTCAGAGTTTTCAGTTCTAATAGAATGCTGGGTACTCAAATGAATAAAAAAGCATCATATTTTAATTGTTGAAATCTGAATCTGCAACATAACCAGTAACATGTCTCCATCAGGTAAATGTAGTAATGCAATGTTTTCCTCTTAAGTAGTAAGTAATTTAGTGTTGAGTTGCATACTTTGGGTGCCTTTTGTTTGTTACTTCACTGTACAATGAGCTACAGTAGAAAGAGTAGAATAGAAGGAACTCTATTCATCCTGAAGGGAACTTCAGTAATATAATTTGATATTTTTCATAACTTAACATGTAAAGTTGGTTTTAACAGCGGTTCTCGAGAACAACAACAACAACACCATGGGTCAAGCAATTGACCTGTTCCAGCCCCCCTGAACTAGGACAAGCAGTTACAGATAATAAATAAATGATTAATTCAAGAAATGAATCAAAATCATTGATTTGTCGTATTGTCTCTGTGGATATTTCCCTGCTACCTAAAAATCCAATCAGGTACTTTATTCAGAAATTATTGAACACCCACTGGATGTCTGTGTGCATGTTTAATATGTTTAATTATGTTTAAGTATATGGATTC